AAAAACCCTGTTGGCCGTATAGACACTTTAAAACGTTCATTCTTTAATTTCAGCGTCTTCTTTAGGCTCCATGAGTTCTACTGACTCCACTCTATTATCTTTGGCAACTACCTCATCTTCCTTAGCAATGATATCTACACTGATTTCATGTTTAGGATCGCTTGATTGTGATGGTAGGTTTGCCTCGAATGTGACTGTCTTCTTTTCAATATTTGAGAACTTCCATATTATCTGCACGCTTGCCTATGTTCTGACTACCTGATTATCAGTCTGACTGACTTATTGGCTGACTGAGAGGTCTCATGATTGAATAAACAAACTGCAATGCCTGGCTAACTGAGATGCTGGGTAGCTGCCCTCGTCGATCGCTAAATATCAGGCGCGCTATTCACATTTCGTCGTCTGACTTCCACTCTGGTTCCATACTTAGTGTCCTTGGTTGCCAAGATAGCAGTATTTCTAAATTCAAAATCGCTTTTTTTTCAATTAGGTGTCTGCAACAGCGGTAAGGAATACGACGCATGCGGAGTATGTGGCGGGGACGGATCAACGTGCCCAGGAATTACGATGACGATACCACAAACCATTGCAAGCAGTCAACCGACTGTCTGGGTGATTGGAACTAGACTGGACGATGGATGGGATACCTTATGTGGGTTATATGACCCAGAGAGTGGAGCCCTGGTGGTCAATACCACAGGTATATATAGCTTTCAGGGAGACGTCTTTCATTAACGGAGGTTTGCATACACAGGCTGACTAAACACAGATCAATTTTCCACGAGCACGCGTTGAATATGAGCCAAATATTCGTTCTAGTAAAAACTCCCCCAAAATATAGAAGACTAAAATAAAATAAAAATAAAAACACCCAAAAAATTATACTTACCATATTTGAATTGTAGAGCATTGTATAATTGCTCATATGCAATGACGGCTTAGCCAATGAAAATTCTTAAATTGCATCATCCAATGATCCCGTTTTTAATTAATTAATATAATCAAATACACTTTTCCTAATCAACGGTTGAATTTCTTATTGGCATTCAGTCAGCTGTTTGTTTGCGCAATGTGTTCGCTTGTTGACTTGGACTAGGTTTGCCATCTATGTAACAATGTTTCATTGGCCCTAAAGTCGCATGAGAATTTTATTTGATGGAATAAAGGTGACCTAAAACTTAAATCAAACGCGCTTTGTTTGCATGTTGGGTTGAGTCATGATCATGATGTAACATAATTATGATTGTGTGTTTTGATGCGATAATGGGCTCTATAGCTCAAGTTAATTAAATGTACAGGGTAGAAATATATAAGTTATGTGAATAACTTATGGCATTTGAGACCAACTTCCACGGAATCCTGTTGAAACGAAAGTTATTTTTTCTTTCTTGCTTTTGATCCCATTTTTAGCAGCTGCAAGGAATCTGACGCATGCTCGGTGTGAGTTTCAACCTTGGGACGAAAACATTGCAGGCGTTTACAACCTGTCCCTAACAATTGTTCACAACGGTAAACCAGATTTGAAAATCAACAATTCACTTCCGGTTTTTTATTACATGAGACCGGACCTCTCTCTGACAAATGTTATACCCAGTGAAGTCCTCATGGAAGACCTTCCACAATATGTGACTTTAGTCGGCAGTGGCTTCTTTGACTGGAAGGAGACAGTGTGTTATTTTGGCTCCCAGGAAAGCAGCGTTGTAAACTTCATTAACGATACTCATCTCGAATGCAAGGTAAAGTGATGGTTTTGGTTTTACCGGATGAACAGTTGAAACGGATGAGGTGTAAGACGGAAGCGCGAGAGCTAGAATCTCGGAAGGACTCAATTGAAGGTCTTTGAATTGTTAAGCTCGAGCCATTCAAATGTTTACATTATCCTTCGGGAACACAATTAAAACAATAATTTCGTGTGCATTAATAAAAAAATAATAACACGCAGAGAAACATGACTTTATTGCTGTGTTTAAATAACGTATTTGTAAACCAATAAACCAATAAACATATTTATTAGCGCTACGTTCGCGATGCATTTCTGAGGAACCTTTTCCCCTCAATTTAGCGCCATTTTAAGCAAAGCATTCTGCTATGTCAGGCTTTATGTGTGTAAGGACTTGGGCATAACATGACTATTTCAAATGGTATTATTTTAAAACAATACTTCAAGTATCTGAAGTTCGGCAATAATAGATTGTAAAAGGAGAAGATATGATCGTTGCTCCTGGGTTTCGTTCCAACACATTCTATGCAGACATGATTGATCATCGCAGTTATGCACACAACTTAAGCAGTTGTGAAATTTGAACCTGGAAAAAAAAAATCAGGCCTGAACGGGATTCGAACCCATGACCTCTGCGATACCGGTATCGCAGAGGTCATAGGTTCGAATCCCGTTCAGGCCCGAATTTTTTTCAGGCTTAAATTTCACAACTACTTAAGTTGTGCGCATAACTGCGATGATCAATCATGTCCTCATATTCTAACAATCTTCTGTTTCATAATGTTGTAGGTGACCGCCGTTGAAGTTTCGACCCATTTCTCCGTGTTCCTCTCAATGGATAGTGGACTGGTACTGGTTGGCAATGCCGACCTTACAGTCTATGCTCGGGCCCCAGACGTTATCAAAGTAAAGTTCAGTGATACAGCCGTGAAAATCTTGATTCGCTTTGATAAGGAGGCGGAGATTGTAAATGCGGATCAAACATGCCATGAGCTATTTGCCAGTGAAACAGTTGCTATGTTAGGGAGTTACCCTGACTGTATCTTGAGCCATTCTCAAGAATTGCAAATAATCCCGGGTGTTGGGGCTAACATTACGGTTGGTGACAACTTGGTGTTTAACGATAACGTGCTCAAGGCCCGCGATGAACAGTACAGCAGGTTCCTCAGTGGCTCATTTTCAGTCGACTCACCAGATAGTCCCTTGAGACCAACGCCTGTAATCACAGGTTAGCAGCATAGAAGTTAAAGGCGAAAGAATTAACGCTTTAGAACAAGCTGAATGGTACCATTCGGATAAAATCTTGCTTTTGCGTCTGCCGCAAAATACTAACTACTGAGATTTGTCTTTGCAGGTCCTCACGCTCTTGCTTCATGTGGAAATCTTACTCTTTCTGGCTCCCAGTCTGTTGGAGGTGGCAGTCGCCCACTTACTTATGAATGGAAATTGACATCACCTAACAGTGGGCAAGATTTCACAGACATTACAAACGTCCTCAACGAGCTTAGATCAGATGCCGATCGTGTTAAGTTGCCCGGGACAATGTTTGAGACCGACAGAGCCTACGAGTTTAAGCTTAAGGTGGCCAACTTTCTGTATCCATCAAGCTTTGAAGAAGTTACCCATGTGATTAGAAAAGCTACTGAGCCAGTCCCTGCCTTGACGCTCAGTTCAGGTATTGAACTTACTGAGGGAGAAGTCTTTGTCTCGGAGGACCTGTCAATCAAAGCAAGTGCAATTGTAAGTACAACAGCACTAGTTTAATTATGGTGGCCATAAATTCAGTTCCGCTAGCACTCGATGTCTTTTCATGTTTTATATCCCACATTCCCCCCTATGATCCTTCTTTCCTGTTCATCGTACTTCTCTTTCGCATCTTCTTTTTTGCCTTCTCCTTCCACTTTTCTCGTCCTTTTTGTCTCCCCCTCTTCCTCCTTTCGTATGTTTGTATGTATGATTTTACACCTTGTTTTCATGAGCTCATTTCTGTGTTTACTCGATACTTCAAATGGCAAAATTTTGGAATTTGTTGGATACGAGCTAGACCTGCTCTTCCCTCTTTACCACTCTCCTGCGCCTTTAAAAATTACCTCTCAATCAAAGCAGCGGCGATTGTAAGTAAGACACTCCTGCCTTGTGGTCCATTAGTTTCGTATTTTCTTAGGTCAACTGATGATAGATTAGATACAATACGAATTCTAAGGCGAATATAGGTTCACTTCATCTTTGCAGAGACCTTTACGCTACCTTCAAGGTGCTAAATTTGGACAACAGCGATGGAGTCTAGAAACCAAGTTTCTCTGTCGTTCCATCGAATTCCAAAAGCGGTGCTTTGAAGTGATTTTCTTTAACCCTTACAACTTTTTTCAAAGGACTCATTAAAGCCCAGCTTTTGACAGCTCTTATAAAATAGAATTAATTGTCTTTCCTGTTAAAAATGTATTGGAAATTTAACCGAGTGTCTAAGCCGTCATCGTGATGGTCATGAAAAAGATAAATCTTCCAACATGAATAGTAAATAGCTGACAAAGGAGAAGTAACATGGTTATATTTTTTGAAAACTGCCTTTCTTTTTCTTCATAGGTTGCTCCTTGTGTAAACGATACTCGAGTGGACTTTTCATGGGCTGTTACATGCCGTGATGCAAGCGCCCTACTAAAAGTGGAGTCCAGTGCCTCGTTTCAGGCCACTAAACACCAGGCCACCCTCAGAGTAGATCGAGGGGTACTAACTGCTGACCTCAACTTCACGTTTAACGTGACAGCAAGTATGAACTACGATCCTACTGTCCAGAGCTCCGCCGGCCAAATCGTCAGAGCTATGCCCAGTCCACTTCAACCGGCAATAGTTGGAGGTTAGAAAAATATGTAGCTTCGGTGATTTTTTATAACAAAATTCCTCAAGAAACCACGTGTTTGATTCTTTAGGCTTCAACTAATATGTTTTGCATGATCACAATTGAAGCACAAATCCTACTCATGTCGGCTGTTTTGCTTTTTTTCTTTTACAACAACTGTCTAATTTCTCGCCGCAGATTGGCTAATTTTTATCGTCAATGAGAACACAGACGGATAAAATTTTAATTCATGCAAGCTGTCAAGTTCAACTTTCAGCTGTCAAACTGCCAACTTTTTAGCCAATGAGGTTTTATAGACTTTTTAAGCAGCAAATCGAAAAGCGAAATGCTAGTGACAATGTTCGCGTTATTTTGAATAAAATTCACTTGTCTTTGATTACGACAAGATTACGGCGTCTTCCGCCCTCATTTTTTCCCGGCATTTGACCATTTTGGGGTCTTGTTATTATATAAAAAAACAAATTGACGTCAGTTTTTTTGTGCTTCTGGTTCCACAGCCAGTTTGACAATGTTATGACGCAATTTATCATCAATAAGAGGACAGACGCATAAAACACTGACGACAATTTGTTAAATTTACCATATGACTGAACTGGTCTGAGATGAAAAGGACAATTCTGATTGGTTCCCTTAGCGGTCCGAATTTTGCAATACACACCACTGGGATGGACCACTCACGAATTAATTTCGCCGCATTGCTTTTTGCATTCATTGCGCAAAATGCGCAGTTTTGGTTAAGTACCGAAAATGGATTATAGAGACGTATCAATTTATCAGCAGATTAAAAAGTACTTTATTGCTTGTTCGGTCCATATTGGAAAATATTGGATCTTGTTTTTCTTGTTTTTTTGCAAGTTTATGGATCTCGCCTGCGGCTCGGTCCACAAACCTGCAAAGAAATAAGAGTTCGACCTATGTTTCTCCAATGCGGACCTCACGCTAGTTCGATAACATATGGAGGGGGTGGGGGAAGCCTTGAACTCGAAAGAGAATGTCTTGTACGTCACTTAAGCTTACAAAGGTGTTCATTAGGGAAATCAGATTTGCGATAAAGTAAGTTAATTCCTATATTTCATTCATTTTATCAGTAGGTGATTAGATAATTAATTAGATACACGACCACAAGCATGTAGTGCTTAAACGATAATCGTGTTTTAAATAAAGGATTTTACTTTACTTTTTACCTTATTTAATTTAAGGTGATCGACAAATTGGCCGTGACAGTGGAGCAATAGGATTGGACGCTAACACTCAAACAGTGGATCCTGATCGTACCAGCGAGGCTTTAACTTGTAGCTGGAGTTGTGAAGTTCAACGCGGTGGATCATGTGACTCGGCTGTGAACGGACAGTTAATATTTGCTTTAATCTCGGGATGTCAAACGGAAGTGCAGAGCAACCACTTCTTTGTAGGAACAACTTACATAATAAGGTTTGATTGAAAAAAAAATGGAACAGAATGAGACTGCTGGCGGTCTGTTTATCTCGAAATCAGTCAGGGATTATGAGGAGATACGTTTCAGACTACACAGGACTGGGACGATCCCTTTTCGTCCATGCGGCCCTTTTGTGTTCGTGTTCATGGATAAACTCTCATCTGACCCTAAAATAAGACCGGCTGCCAGCAGTGTAGAACAAAATCTTTGCAATTGACCGCCATGCTCTCGATCATCGGATATGGATTAACGCGACTCTGGAATTGGAAGTTGACCTAAAACACAAGCATGTTAAAAGATCATAGCGTTTAA